GTTGCCATAGGTGGTTATGGGTGAGCTACTTCTGTGTTTTGTTTTTTATAGTTTAAATAAATTGAAGAGGTTAAAAAAATGTAAAGACTTCCCTAAACCTGCTTTCCTTACAGTTTCCCAAGACGTCCTGGGTTTCTGACATAGAACCGCTCTGGAGCTAAGCTTATTTATTGGGTGGTGATGATAAGATAGCTGCTTAGGCTAGTCAACACTGAGGCCCCCTGTGATGATTTCTCTTCTGCAGCTTCCATCATAGTGTTTAAACTGACATCCCTCAGCGGAGACTTCTGACCCCAGAACCCTTCTTCAGCCAGTCTGGCTCCTTAATTTTATAAGATAATGAGTACCCTTGTCTGGTGCAGTTTGGCTTTTAGTTTGTCATATTATCGAAAAAGCTGGTTAAAGAAGGGAATCCTGATTTTTTTTTTAAATAGTTTTGTTATAATACTTGTTTTGAAAATGTGAATTTGTTTTAACATACCTGATATATTTGGGAACAATAAAAAAATCTAATGAACATAGGGCTAGAGAGTGTAGGTCCTGAAGTTGGAGGCAGGGAAGCAGTGAAGAGGAGTATTTATTTCCTAACTTTTTACACATGGATCCAATATTTTGTTGAGTCTTGGGCAGGACATTTTAGTTAAGGTAGGATCAAAACCTTTAAAGTGGGAATAAAATGAAGTTAATAGTACCATGTTCTCTCAGATTTTTGGCTAGGGAAGACAGCTGGCTATGTTTGGGAGGACTAGAAAATCATCTTTCCTTATTTGAGATAAGGTTTGTTGTAGGACTGGTCATTTATCAACAAAGCTAAATGTATTAAAAATATTTCCAGTATGGTTGGAGGGTCTGTAGGCTCAAATGATTACTACAAACACAGAATTATCGTTGATGTTCTAAGGTTAATGACTCCCAGAAGTCAATGGAGATACTTTTTATGTGTTATGGAGACATGTAGAATGTTCCCAAGGCTACCCACTTCGAAATCCTAGTAGAATACTTAAAAATTGCTATGTATTATTTAATACAAAGTATCTAAGGTAAGAAACATAGAAACTTGAAGACCTATGATCCTACCTCCAACTTATGAAATAGACTTTACTAGTAAAATTGAAGCTACCTCTGTATACTCTACCCTAATCTATCACCAATATATTATTTTTTATTGTGTTAGTCACCATATAGTACATCATTAGTTTTTGATGTAGTATTCCATGATTCATTATTTGCATATAAAACTCAATGCTTATTACAACACATGTCCTACTTAATATCCATCACTGGGCTAACCCATCCTCCCCAAACCCTTCCCCTCTGAAACCCTCAGATTGTTTCCCAGAGTTCATAGTCTCTCTTGGTTCATCTCCTCCTCTGTTCCCTCCCACCTTCAATTTCCCTTCCTTCCCCTAATGTCCTCGGTGCCATTCCTTATATTCCATGTATGACTGAAACCATATGATAATTGTCTTTCTCTGCTTGACTTATTTCACTTGGCATAATCCCCTCCAGTTCCATCCATGTCGATGCAAATGGTGGGTATTCATCCATTCTGATGTCTGAGTAATATTCTACTGTATATATGGACCACATCTTCTTTATCCATCCGTCTTTTGAAGGGCATCTAAGCTCTTTCCACAGTTGGCAATTGTGGACATTGCTGCTATGAACACTGGGGTGCATGTGCCCTTTCTTTTCACTACATTTGTATCTTTGGGGTAAATACCCAACAATGCAATTTTGCTGGGCCAGAAGGTAGCTCTATTTTTAACTTTTTGAGGAACTGCCATACTGTTTTCCTAAGTGGCTGTATCAACTTGCATTCCCCAACAGTGTAAGAGGGTTCCCCTTTCTCCACATCCTCTCCAGCATTTGTTGTTTCCTGCCTTGTTAATTTTTGCCACTCTAACTGGTATCAGGTGATATCTCAATGTGGTTTTGATTTGAATTTCTCTGATGGCTAAAGATGTTGAACATTTTTTCATGTGTCTGTTGGCCATTTTCTTCTGTGGAGAAGTGTCTCTTTATGTTTTCCTGCCCATTTTTTGACTTGATTATTTGTTTTTGGGGTGTTGAGTTTAAGAACTTTTTTATAGATCTTTGATACCAGCCCTTTGGCTGTAATGTCATTTGCAAATATCTTCTCTTACCCCATGGGTTGCCTCTTAGTTTTGTTAGGGACTGTTTCCTTTGCTGTGCAGAAGCTTTTTATCTTGATGAAGTCCCAAAAGTTCATTTTTGCTTTTGTTTCCCTTGCCTTTGGAGATGTGTCATTAAAGAAGTTGCTGTGGTTGATGTCGAAGAGGTTAGTGCCTATGTTCTCCTCTAAGATTTTGATGGATTCCTGTCTCACATTGAGGTCTTTTGTCTATTCAGAGTTTATTTTTGTGTATGGTATAAGAGAATGGTCAAGTTACCCTATATTTTATGTTTATCATTTCCTTGTGTTTAAAAAAGGTTTCATACTTAAGATTATATCTGTACAATATATTATTTATTTCCCTGGATTTGAATGATTATACCACATGTATTTTTCTGTTACTTGCTTCTTTTGCTCAGTTTGGTTTGTGAGATTCATCCATGACACTGAGCTCATACATGTTCATGGATGTATAATATCCCACTGTTATGAACAGTCTGTCCTTCCTCCTGTTAAAATGGGGTATTGTCCTGCTTCTAAGAGCCATATCCTATTTTTTTTTCTCTCTTACTGAAAGACTTTGTTTCTGCAATTATCTTATCTTTTGCCTGCACCACTTTTTTCTCTATTAAGTATTTCCATCAACTTATAAACATGCAAAAATATCTCACATTCTTCAAGAAAATTAGACCTCAAGTTCCCCTCCAGCTATTATCCCATGATTCTGCTCCTCTTTTAGCAAAACTTTTGGAAAGAGACGTCTGTCATTATGTCCACTTCTTTATTTCCTCCTTTCTCTTAAGCCACTCCAATTAAACTCTTATTATTATTCCATCAATCCAGTATTTTTATTATTATAACAGAATTTTCACTTTTCTGATGTCAGTGATAATTATTTCCCATCTTCTCAATCTTTTAGCAACATTAGACATAATAAGAGATGCCTCTCCGCTTCAAGGGCAGTTCTGACTGCTTCTATGCATTTTAGACTTTTCTATCCTAGTTGTTCACAATCCTCACCTAAATATGTAGGAAGCATGTCAAATTTTACATTTGAACTGAAGTCTTGATTTCTCAGAAAAGGGCATCACTGTTCAACTCTGCTCTGGCCAAAAATCTAAGATTATTTTTTATTCCATTCTTTTGTTTACACTCCACATCTAATCCAGTAATCCTTCAGAGTTTTTTCCAGATTCTGATCCCCTTTCACCACTGCTTTTGCCACATTTTCCCAACCACCGTTATATAGCTTTCAACCTGGCCTATTTGCCATCTCGCTCCCCAAAGTCAAATCTTCACAAACCAGCCAGGGTGATCTTTTAAAAACAAAAATCAGGTCCTGTTTCTTCTGTGTCCAACAAGAATAAAAGACAAACTCCTTAGCTGAGCCTGTAAGAATTTAGGCAACTTAGCCCCTACCTATTCCTCTAATCTCTTCTCTAAGCCCATCTCCTTCCCTACTGCAGTGTAGACACATGGTTTTCTTGTCTTTCACAAACAAACCAAGGTCATTCTCACATGCTATCTTTCCCTCCCTGGAACACACTTCCAAAAAACTTCATGTGGCTCACACTTCACCCCTTTCATGTCTGCTCAAATGTCACATCTTAGAGGGTCTTCTCTCCCTTTATCTACAAACCACTTTTCCACCAACTTTGATTTCTTTGCCCTGCTATATCTTTCCAAGTAGAATGTTTATGGCACTACTGTTACCATATTGCATGTTTATTAGTTTATTATCTGCCTCTCTAACTAGAATATAAATGCTATGAAGGCAGAAACTTGTTCACAACTGAATACCCAGAACCTGGAAACTGGTTGGAACACAAATTCTTCAGCATTAGTTTATTTGTTTCAGGCAGTATACTTTCATTACCATCATGTAGTAATTAATAAGGTCATTCAGAGCCAGCATATCCCAGGAAATTAAGGTATTAAGTTTTATTTCTGAATCATTTTGGTCAGTCCATTTCCTTGCAACACACAGTCATTATGTGTGCTTACTGGAACTGATCAATTCTTAAATTCAGGTGATAATGCATACCTTTTCTAGAACTCTGACTTACTCAAAATTTAGAGTGTTTACTCTTTTATACATACATAAGAATATACAAATGTATACTTTAAGTAAAACTATATACTTAGAAGAAACAAGATGGGGAGATATACCCACCCTTACATTATAGCTAATAGCTAGTATGTACTGTGCACATAGTATTTATTGAGCACTTATGTGCCAGGCATTATTATAAGCACTTTACCTTTGCTTATTTAATCTTTTTTTTTTTTTAAAGCAGAATGTTCTCTCTCTCTTTTAAGAAGATTTTATTTATTTATTTGACAGAGAGAGAGGGAATACAAGCAGAGGGAGCGGGAAAGTAAGATGCAGGCTTCTTGCAGAGCAGAGAGCCCAATGCGAAGCTCGATCCCAGGACCCTGGGATCATGACCTGAGCCGTAGGCAGATGCTTAAAGACTGAGCCACCCAGGTGCCCCTGCTTATTTAATCTTCACTAAAACTCATGATGCCCTGTTATCCCTATTTTACTACTGATAAACTGAGGCCACATAGGTGAAGAAACTTGCCCAAGGCTATGTTCTATATTACAACTGCTTGTGTCTATTAATGTTGTGACATAGACACCTGCATTTTCCAGCCAGGATATAAGACGCCCAATGTGTTATTTTTCAAAGACAAGTAAATTCATTAAAAATGCATGTATTGGGATCCTTCTGAGCTGCACTTCTCTCTCTGACACTCCACCACCTACACCCTCACTGCGTTCCCACCTCATTTATGAGACCCTCAAGGCTCTCTCTCTCCATAATGGATCCTTTCACAATCCGACTTTTCTTACCTTTTCCTTATGAACTGTACTTGACTCTTTGACTTCCTCAACTGGAACTTCAGTGAGACCTCTGTTCTATTCTCTGGATTGTTTTATCCTTGCATAAGCCTTCACCACTGTTGAACAGTGTGACCTTCCGCAATGTGCTTAACTTCTCAGGGTTTTTTCTTTGTGAAAGAAAGGCAGAGTGGATTAGATGAGCCTAGCAAGCACTGCAACTTCAAGTGTCTTAATTTTTTTTTTTATTTTGCTAATATGTCAAACTTACAGAAAATTTATAATAATAATAAAAATAATACAAAGAAATCTTAGCTGCCAATATTCATTACCTCAGACCTCCAAATGTTAACATTTTACTACATTTGCTTTATATCTATCCACCTTGCTATACTTCTTAAAAATTTTTTTTTTGAAATTATAGACACGATGCTCGTTTACTCCTGAATACCTTAGTATGTATTTTCTTTAAAAAAGGAGGTGGGTGCTGGATGGCTCAGTCGGTTAAACATCTTCCTTTGGCTCAGGTCATGATCCCAGGGTCCTGGAATCGAGCCCCACATAGGACTCCCTGCTCTGCGGGAGCCTGCTTCTCCCGCTCTGCCAGCTTCTCCATCTGCTTGTGCTGTCTCTCTCTCTGTCAAATGGATAAATAAAATCTAAAAAAAAAAAAAGAAAAAAAAAAAGACGGGGGGAGTTCTGCTACATACCACAACCTAATTATAAATGCTAGGAAAATAACACAGATGTAAAACTATTATGTATTCTATAGCCACTTTAAGGGTCTTTTTATTTTAAGTCAAATGATTAAAAATGGATTGGGCTTTTTGATGTTCTTCTAACAGGTGTGACTTTGAATGCTCTCAACCTCTCAACAAGACCTTGATAACATTCCTCTTTTCTGTGGATTTGGTCTCATAATGATACTTCCTGTATCTGTCTTTATTCTTGGTTACAAGCTATTCAGACTCTCTTAGTCTATCTTAAATAAATATCAAAACTAGCAGGGGAATATAGGAAATATATTAAGATTCATAGAATCACTGAAAGACCAGAGAACCAAAATGTAAAAAATATGCAGGAAACAAGGACAGCTACTCAGCCAGGATCCAGACTTTGATCGTCAGGAGAGAGAGGCCATAGTGGAAAGTTGGTCTGACCAATACCTACCTAATTATATGTGAGGTAGCAGAGAGTCAACTTCCTATAAGATAATGAGGGTGCTCCTGGGAAGGAGAAATTGAAGAATGGTGTACTTAAACGTTCATTAACAAGAGACAATATACAGCTCATATTAAATTGGACATAGGAATATTTTCTTAGACTTGCAAAAGACTGACATGAAAATCTAAATGTGGTTATAGCTAAAATCTACACCAAAAATTATGAGTGCAAATGGTCACAGCAATTAAATGTTTATTTCAAAGGAAGGGTTCATCTGCTGAGAAAGGAAATTTACTTCAGAAAATAAGTTTGCTGGTGCAGATAGCTTTAATATATTTAATATACATAAGGGCAGCATTGCCTCCCCCTACCTATGCCTCTAGCATCAAGAAAAGTAAAAAACAGAAGCAACAACAACAAAAAAACACCTCACATAAGATTTATTACAGTTCAGTTTAAATGTACAAATGAAACATCTGACCCAGTTAGCAATGATGTCCATTAGTTTTTTAATGTAGTATGTCAAGAGAGTAATATCTGGAACACTAAATAAATAAACTGAAAACATCTCATGAAACTATGAATTCTAAAGAACCTGACCAACCTCTCATGACCGCTTTGAACCAAAAGATCACATATAAAAAAAAATAATGGGACAAAGAAAAGAACTTGACAAAGAAATTGAAAAGGAGGGGAAATTACTACATGTAACCACAACTGGGGACAGATTATATCACAGGATTATTAGAATTTGGAGGGAAACATTATTATTTTTTAAATTGAATTAGATTATTTATTACAGTTCTAAAAAGTATTGAACGTGAGGAAGATTCCTAGCAAATATTAGATTATACCAGGAAATAGTGTATATGAGAGGAACGTCTCAGAGATAAATCTCTATATAAACATCACAAATATTAAATTTTTCTTCTTGTAGCTCCAATCTGGTAAGAATTGCTCTTATATTTTATAAATAGCAAGTAATGTAATTCTGCTTTCTTACCTTTGTAGATAGGAGCAGTAATGTTTTTCAGAACTGACAACAATGGGGTTTTTGAGTTTAGTCAAGTTGGTGACCATAGTGAGGGAATTTGAATATGGAACAGAAGAACTCTCCTATGGGTAAGTTTGGCTTTCTATTTAGTTATAGAGTTTCAGCTAATTAACTCCTTCCACCCCTGCTTCTATCTTTAAAAATTGTATTCAGCTCCTCTGAGAAGCCTCCCTGAAATCCCTAAATGGAATTTTTCTACACAAGCCCCAGGCTTCCCTGATACCTTTTGATATAAACTTATGATAGTGATTTTGTTTTGTCTAACATGATAGGTGATTATGGTATCTATTTTCTTCAGTAGAGTATAATTTCTGTGGAGGCAAATGGTATAGGTTAGGAATATAGGTGAGGTTTGTTGTTGGCGGGGTGAGGTCCAAAGCGAACAGCCAAGAAAGAATTCTTGAGACGTCTTTGGTGCAAAATGGTGATTTTATTAAAGCAAAGTGATGGTTTTATTAAAGCCCATGGGCAGAAAGAGCTGCTGCACCGGGTTTGTGAGGGGGGACTGATTATATAGTTAGGAGTTGGGGTAAGGAAAATGGGAGGTTTTCAGAAGAATTTTTGTATGCTAAAGAGGACCTACAAGATATTTGGAGGCCTTGCCATTTTCAAGTTAAGTTTGTTTTTCCCTCTAGTAAAGCATTCACATTAAGGCAGTTGAGAGTTTCCTTCTGGAAATTAGGTTATTGATAAGATTGCTTTTTTCCTTATAAATTACTAAAACCTTTTTAAACTGAGGGAGACTCATGTCTTGCTGGATTGTAATCTCTAAATTAACCATTTGCTTTTCTTTTCCCTTAGCTTCAGGGCAGCCAGGAGTGCCTGAGGAATGCCACACAGATGGGGGTGTTGCGGGGTGTCAGCTCATGCTCTGTCCTCAGCTTGCCTTCTGCTCCCTCATCAGCAAATACTGTGTATATATACATACATACTTCTACACACTCACACACATACACACACTGGAATAACAGGCTCCATCTTCACGTAAAGTCTAGGTGATCTTTAAATTATAACAGAAATGCATGTTGTTGGTCCCCACCCCCTTCTTTGTACTTCCCACACTGGAAAAGCCCAAATTGCCTCGCAGGCCACAGTAACTATACTACCCTGGTCTAAGCTTCTCCTACTTTAAACTAATCATGGTCCACGAGAATCTAAGAAGTCGAATAGATTTATTTCCTGCCATTCCTTGGATATTAGTGATATAAATTGCATCCCCACTGCTTGTGTCCTGAGTGTGTAGAAAATGCAGTCTAGCATGAAATCCAGCATACAGTTTTACAGCACTCTGCAGAAGCAAGTCCCATTTCCTGAGTACTGGGCAAAGAAGAGGAAGAGAATTTAAACTGGTGTCAGGAAGTCCTGGAAAATGAGAGGTCTTCTAAATGAGAATGAGACAAGTTCATTAAAACAAAACCAGTCCAAGCCATATGGCTGCCAGCACTGTGGAATGAACATATATCTGAATAGAAGATCCAGGTGGTCTCCAAAGCTTTTGTCTGAGATTTCTATTTTTGTGCCCTAAAGGAATGTAAAGGCTTTTATAATGCTCAGACCAAATAAAACCACCCTTGCCACTATTGTACTTCAAATTTATGTTAAAAAAGAATGTAGTGAGTATATCCTGCTTATTTGCTAACAAGCACAACTAGCGTTGCCCAATTATCTGAAAACTGGAAGAGAAAGTCATTTTCCTCTTTAATGCTGTTAGATGTTTTTATAAGTATGAATAATTGGAAAATTTTAACACAGAAAGTATCCTATGAATTTTTGGTAGTAATTATGGTGTGAGGGTCTGACCTTTTCAGCATTCTTACATGCTCTGCCTTGAGTTCCTTGAAGGTTAATGCTGTATATCACTGGTCTCATAAAGCATTGCTGGAAGATTTGAGGGCAGAATTGGTGCATGGTTATTTCTCGTTCTCATGGATTGAAAGGCTTTGAATGAGTTTTCTGATGCTGGTCTGAACTGACTGTATCTACTGGCGGGAGAAAAACAAAAACAAAAACAAGTGTATGTTATACACATGCTTTTCCAGAGACAGACCCCCAGAAGACGCTGAGAGCAGCTTCTTGTTTGGATCAGTCCTTCTTCCATCAGTGTGCTTGTTCTGCAATATAGGAAACCTTGTCTATGGGCCACCCTTTCAGTATCTTATTCTTGCCTCCTGCCCAGTAGGCATATGGAGAAAACTGGTGGTCTGGAAACATTTGGAGAAAATCTTTCTGTCTACTCAGTCAGCCAAACTGTTTCATGCCTTTCCAACATTAAAGCAAGTCTAAGTTTGTATTTTATGTTTATAAATGTAATAATTCTGTAAATCCAAAGCTGGAAGTGCTCCTAGGATTTAGGCAACAAAACTGGTCATATGCATTTAATTAAGCTAAATTTCTACTCACAATTTAAGTCTGGAATTTCTTTTTTAGAATGAGAATGGGGAAATTTTGATTAATATTTTGAATCCTTGTGCAAATCCTTACATCAAATGTTTAGAAAATAAATGGCCTTATATGTAATTTTGCACGTAAAAATTGTTAGAGGGCCAAAGTATTTATGGGAGGGGGGTATGGAAAAAAACTCAAGCTGTGCGTTATTTTCCCCATGTTAAAGTTTAAAACTGCATAAGGAAGTTTGATTATAAAGAATATTAAAGATTAGATCCCTCTTTCATTGAGTTAACTTCCAAATTAAGTGGGGTGGAGTACAACTACATTTCAAGAGACATTTCACATTAATTTGGTACTTACCCTTGTAGTTTACTAAGGAGTCGATTCAATTTTACAAATCATGGAGGCAGATTAGTTAAATAATTCCATGCTGACCTAATAGTTAAGCCTTTTGAGGTTCACCTGTAACTCCTGTTGTGGAGTTGTACTGTACTCCTTGTTGTGGTCCTATTAGATTCAGCTGGGAAGGAGCTGTGTCTGGATGTAGTGAGGATTTTATTTTTCTTTTAATGTGCCTTGCAAGAGAGAGTGCTTCAACTACCAAATATGTACTCACTAAATTGTTTTGAGGTTTGTTCTTTATACACTGTATGGAATGGTGGGGATAGGAGTCTCTATTGACTTAAGCTGGCAAAAACCAATATTGTAATTCAAATACAGCACTCACCTGGGAAACTGGCAAATTTGGACTACAGCCCTTAACCCCACCTTGTTTACTTTCTTCTCTCTTCTTCATTATAAATAAACAAATAACTGACATCCACTTTCAGCTTGCTGCCTTTTTAATTGAAAGCAGTGTGTCACTGTATTTTGGTTATATATTGAAAATGGAGGAATCGTTTAGTGTTTTGTTTTTTTTTTTAAATGGAGAGGATTTGGGAGAGGTCTTTATATCTGTAACACTAAGATAATTAAACCTCTGAAGTTGTCATGTAAAACATTTTCTCAAACTGCCTTCGCAAACCTGCAGGTTTATTTTAACAAATGTTTAGTTGTAAGCGACAACCCTACAAAACCACCACTACAGTGTTTCGTGTTGTTTTGTATTTTCTGTTGCTTAGGGAAAGAAAGACATAAAAATACGTTTTCAGAAAATGTGATGGATCTATACCAAGAGGATGAAATTACAGAACTTGAAACATATGGGCTTGTTATAGTCCTCCTTAACTCACTCATCACTCAGGAAGCTACCACAGTCACAATCTAAAATTGACCACTTCAGGAAAAGCAAACCTCAGCCTTCTCCAGAGGGTCCAATCTGGGTTGTGGTCACTATTTTACTACCAGTAATTTTAAATCTTCTTGGAAACATTACCTTTCTAATTTACTGTAAATTTTGACGGATCTGTGAAATCACAGTTGAGATGTTGGTAAACAAGATAGATATGTAGAGCTTGGGTTAAGAGGAAAACAAGCAGTACTAAATAAAACTAAAAAAACCTGCAATGCGAACCTGGAAATCATTGGGCTCAGGTTCCTTCATGAATTGCAATCTAGCAGAAAGTCAATCCAGGCTTTTTTTTGGTTTTGTTTTGTTTTATGTTTACCTGTGGACCTTTCAACAAGTTATTATTGGACCTAATGCCACTGGAAAGTCATAAACAGTGACACTTCAAGAGAAAATCAGATCTCCTCATATTTACCCCTCAGAAATGCAGGGGCCCAGGGGAGCCATTCAGAGAGACCAAGTAGGCAAAGTGGAAGCATTTGTCAAACTATTTTTCTTCTTAATTAAGGATCTGTCTCACGATCTACTCTAAGTAGTTGGAATGTTGCTGATTCTCTAGGGAGTTCTGACTACTTCTAAAGCAAGGGATACTCCATACCAGGGCCATTCTTCATAGCTAAACACAAAACAAAATACAACTAAGTCTTATCACTGTGACCTGGAAGGGCCAGTTGAGTTTCCCTGTGATTAGTTTTATAATAGTAAGTCTAGGTTTTAAAAAAGCTCAAAAATCTCAACGGGTATTTGTTAACTATTTATTATAGGACAATTCAATAAGCTTGGAAAATATGGTACTTTGTTTTACAGTATGGCAGTCTTTACCACTGATGCTTTTTTCCCCACATAGAATAACACTAGAAGATATTTTATTAAAATATAAGAAAAAGAAAAACAAAGAGACGGATCCTTCTTGACTATAAAACTTCAACAGAGGAGGTTTTAAAATATCCCATTTCAATATACAGTTACCAACTAGTAGTTATAGAGACTTCCAACTAAAACTGGCAGATTGAACACGTGCATTTACTTTCACTCCTTTCTAACCTTCTATTAAATCAATAGTAAAGATATATATATATGTATATATATCTTATATATGTATATAAGATATAGTATATAAGATATATACGTATATATATAAGATATATATATCTTATATACATATATAAGATATACATACATATGTATACATATGTGTATACAGGTATATATGTATATGTATATGTATATATATCTTTAAAACTGTGAACCCACAAGGACAAAGCAAAAAGAGAAGAGGACCAATCTGCAAGTTCTAATAGCTGAATAACAGAAATTCCAAAAGAGAGAATAGAGACAATG